TGATTTGCTGCTCGAAACTAAAGTCTAGAATTCTGGTAACTATGATTAGTATCTCTGAATCTGATTGAAGTCAAAAACCAAGTGTGCAAGAGATATGCTAGTTTGTTGTTCAAGGAAGCAATGGGAAGACTTACTATCAGAAAAAGAAAAAGAGAAGGAAAGGAAACACAAAAAAAAAGCTTCACTGAGTACTTTGTTGAGTTTGATTCTAGTTCTTGTCTCATTTGATAAATTTCTTCTGTTTTTGCTAATATTCATTCTACCTCATTCTCCAATTAAAATCTTTAGATCTTCTTTTCATATCTTCTGCATCGAGTAGTTTTCTTTCTAACAAATTTATATCCTGGGTCTTCACCATCATTTTTATCATTTGTGCATCAAAATAGAAGTTTCAGACTTGCCCTTTTCACTTCTCTTTCTCAAATAATTTCTACTAATCAAAACTTTATGATTGAGGTGTAGTTCGTTGATTGAATGAGGCAGAGTCCACTGATCGATTGATAGTGCACGAGACACCCTCTGCTGGTGCCAAAACAAACAAAAAAAAAGAAGCAAAAAATCTATTGTAATTTGTAATGGAGAAGAGACTAAACAAAATAAGAAAGAAAGGACTTAATAGCGATCGATAAGAAAAAACCAAGATAAATATTTCTTGACAGTGAAAATAATAAATGGGACTTAGGACCACTAGAGTTGGTAACCAATTACATTCGACTGCATATACATTATGGTTTTTTTACATAGTACCTTCAGCTTTTAAAACAACTCATATTGGCTGAGAAGAACAATATGTATATACGCGAAACCAAGATTTCAAGCTTATGGGTTCAGAGTTCTAATCGTTTTAAGTTATTGGGTTCTAAATAAATAATTTTTACATATTCACTAGATTTTTTAAGACAGATACAGAGTTCGAACTAAATCTATTGGGTTCAGCCAAACTTGCTTCCCGCACTCTAGTTCCGCCCTGGCCCCTGTATAAAGTACCTTTAGCTTTTAAAACAACACATATTGGCTGAGAAGAATAATATGTATAACCAGAGAAATATCCCTACTAGCTGCAAAAGACACTGACAGCAAATTGATGAGATTTTTAATTTTCCAACATTACTCTCCTCTTTATGGCTACTTTCTTGACCAGAGACTTCTAACTTTTTTCCTCTTTATGGCTAGTTTTTGGGGCCAATTGGTTTTGTACCCCTCTCCAAATTTATTTTTCGTTTTACATCTTCTTCTTTTTTCAGAACATATTTATTTTTACATACAAGAGATTTGAGAAATCATACAAAAGAATAGATATTTGGAGGGTCATTTTCTTTTATTCAAATTGTAAAAAGCTATGACCAACCATTTACCCAGTTACTAACTATTTGCAGCAAGTTCAGTTGAATTGGCAACTTGCAGAATTATACACATTAAGTAGGCGTTTGGACATGAATTCCAAAAAAAAATAAAAAATAAATTTGGAATTCACTAAAATTTCAATTGAAGATGAAGTTGTGTTTGGTTATAATTTTTGCAATATATTTGGATGTCTTTTTTTTCAAAATCATGAAACATGATTTATACTCCACAACTTGTAAAAATATCAAAACCACCCCAATTTGATTATCCTACTTGAAATAAACAATCTCATATTCTGCTTTACTGCAATACACAGAAGATGCAAAATCAACTAGGACTGATGTTCCACCATCTGTCGCCAAAGATGTATTTGCCAAAGATGAAAAACTGACGGGATCATTTTATAATTTTAAAAATATAGGGTAAACTGGTAAAACTAATAACTAGCAAATTCCCATTTTCAATTGATAAAGTGGTGAGAACTAGTTTTTCAAATTTGAAAATGGATTTTCAAAGTAAAAAAGCAAAAAATAGTAAGAATGGGATAACCAAACATTGTTTCAAAACAAATTTTGAAAAAAAGAAAAAATTTTGTATGTCCAAACGGGTTCTAAATTTAAATTCTCAATCTGTATCTAACTAGAGTATGCATACAACTCAGAGGTAGATATAGCTATAGTGGATCTGTTCTCAACTTATGCCCCGTTTGGCCATACATTTTGGTACCGTTTTTTCAAATCTTTTTTGAAAACATTGTTTGTTCATAGATTAATAATCTATTTTTGAAAAATTTCTGAAATTATTTTTTGAAGTTTCCAAAATCTAGTTTAGGGTAGATTTTGGGTGAAACTTGTTCTCCCACTCACAAAACTTCAAATTTTTTTCAAATAAAATGCATGTCCAAACATAATTTCAACTTTCGAAAATTATTTTTCAAAACTACTTCAAAAATTATTTTTTCAAGTTTCAACTAAATCTATGTCCAAACGCTAGCTTAGACATTTTATACATAAGCATAAAACTGTATATGTATATAGCCCCTTCGAAACCCACAACAACAACAACAACAACGGCCCAGTATAATCCACAAGTGGGGTCTGGGGAAGGTAATATGTACGCAGACCTTACCCCTACCCCGAGGGGCAGAGAGGCTGTTTCCAGGAGACCCTCGGCTCAAGAAAGCAACAAGAGACGATATATTAGTACTATCAATTGACTCATAATAAAATAACATAAGCTACATAACATAACATAAAATATCATAAAATAACAAAATAACAGCAATATAAGAAATATAGGAAATACGAAAAAGATGAAAGGTATAATAATATCCAGCAAATAAAGCCCTGCATCAGTAACTGACCAGTAGCATCTTAGGACTAACTCCTAACTGGCTAGTCTCACTTAGTGCGCTGTAGAAATATTCACAACTCCCCCCTACTCTACAACCTTAATGGTCGACCTCTACAATTCCCTGTCAAGGGCCATGTCCTCAGTAATCCTAAGTCGCGCCATGTCCTGCCTGATCACCTCTCCCCAATACTTCTTAGGTCTCCCTCTACCTCTCCTCGTGCCCACCACAACCAGTCGCTCATACCTCCTCACCGGTGCATCAGTGCTCCTCCTATGAATGTGCCCGAACCATCTGAGTCTTGCTTCCCGCATCTTGTCCTCCATGGGGGCCACGCCCACCTTCTCTCGAATATCTTCATTCCTAATCTTATCCATCCTTGTATGCCCGCACATCCACCTCAACATCCTCATCTCTCCTACTTTCATTTTCTGGATGTGTGAGTTCTTAACCGGCCAACACTCAGTCCCATACAACATGGCCGGCCTAACCACTGCTTTATAAAACTTACCTTTTAGTAACGGTGGCACTTTCTTGTCACACAGGATTCCCGACGCTAACCTCCACTTCATCCACCCCACCCCTATACGGTGTGTGACATCCTCGTCGATCTCCCCGATCCCCTGAATAACTGACCCAAGGTACTTGAAACTACCCCTCCTAGGAATGACTTGAGAGTCAAGCCTCACTTCCACTCCCGCTTCCGTCGTCTCAGCCCCAAATTTGCACTCGAGGTATTCCGTCTTCGTCCTGCTCAACCTAAAACCTTTAGACTCGAAACCCACTAACCTAATTAAATCCTAAATCCTTTGTTCTTGACTATAACTGGTATACAACTCCGCTTCCTCTGGAATTGTAAATTTATTGTTTACTTTTAAAAAAAAGATTGTGAATTGAAATAAGCTTTTGTTAGATACAAATTCAAAGATTTAAATTAATTGCGTCACACCTACACCCATTTATAATTTTTGTCAATTGGGAGCAAACTTAATGTAAATGTACATGTTTTAAATTATTCAACCATATATAACAAATTCAAATTAATGAAACTTGGGAATGATTGCACATGCTGTCGACATACTTAGGGAGAGAGCTAACATATAAGATATGGGTTCGGCTGAAACCAATAATTTTTAGTTCAGATCTTAACTCAAATATAAAATGTATACTAAGTATGTACAAATATTAAATTTTGAATTCAATAACTCAAATAGTTAGTGGCATCCGAATTCGTGAACTTCAAATTCTCACTCCGCGTCTGGGCATGTTTACATCCCACCTGTGGGCTTGATATTGTTTTGGAGGATTTCAACCAAGCAAGACTGTGTCTACCAATCCCTTTGTGTTGTACACTGTAGCTCCCGCCCTCTTCCTCCTAAAATAAAAGACAAAAATTCACAAGAATATAACAAAACTTATAAATGAGACAGAGCAAGACAAAAATGGACAGAGAATATTACAGCTCAAGAATCTTCCATACAAGTACCTCTACACCCTTCTAATCTCCAGCCTTTGGGGGTTAAAAAAGAAAAAAGAAAAAAGTTTGGGGGTAAAAAAAGAAAAAAGAAAAAAGAAAAGGTAAATGCCAACAGCTTAACAAGAGGTAAATATAGAGGCGACTTAAACTGATACTGTAAACGGAGAAGTTTTATTGTGTGTCTCACACAACTTACTGGAGATCGGCGCACCTATGTATGAACTTCGAACATACTATGCTGGAACTCCAACACGCGGAAAGTTCCAGCATAATATACTGGAGATTGGAGCACCTATTTATGAACTTCCAGCATATTATGATGGACCGGTATATTATACTGGAACTCCAGTATATTATGCTGGAGTTCCAGTATACATATGCTGGAACTCCATTATAATATGCTGGAGTTCCAGTATACTTATGCTGGAACTCCAGTATATTATGCTGGAGTATTTCCCGGATTTAAACAGTATTTTCGTTCACATTTATCTTTACATGAAAAATGGCTAAATTTCGATTACTTTTAAACTGTGGCTATTTTTGAATGATCACATGTAAATCTAGCTATTTTTTAATTTCTCCCGTAAATACTATACTCACAGACCCCACTTGTGGGCTCCACTAGATTTGTTGTTGTTAGTATGTTCCCTGGAACACTAAATTTATTTAGGTGTAATATAAGAGAAGCCAACAAGCAATTCCAGCAGCAATTTGTGTGTATGCATTTGGGGGTGGGGAATGTCTTATTTGCTCAGCTGTCATGATCTGTAATGACGGGATGTCTCATTCTACCAACAAAAATAATAAACAGACACTCTCTTCTTTCCAGGTCATACAAAGAAAAAGAAAGCAAAAAGGCTGATAGTGTGGATACAAGGAAAAGACTTGGATTGATTTTTTCACCTTTTCTTTTGATTCCCTTTCAATTATTTTGTCTATCCAGTAAAAGTTAGTTTTTTCTTACTGTTCCTAACCTAGTAAAGACAAAAACCTTTTTTACTATCAGTTACAGCTACCTCAGATTGGATGAAAACTTTTCTTCCTTTTTTCCTATTTTGAAAAGTTCCAAGACTTTACTAAAACCACATTTTTATTGGTAATTTCATGGCAAATTTGAGGTTTGTAACTTACACCCTTATCAAGATTTTATCTTAAGGACAGGCCGGACTCGTAGGGGTGTGATGTAAACAGTCTACCCTAATGCAAGCACTAGTGGCTGCTTCCACAACTCGAACCTCTGATCTACAAGTCACACGGAGAAAGATTTTATCTTGGTTATAAGATATTCTTGGGAAATCTTAGATACCTTTATGCCAATTATCTTTCTACACAAGGGAATCAAAAAATACTTGTACAACTGACAAGGTATGTAATCTTAACTGAATTGGTGTAAAAAGAGGACAGAATCTGAGGAAAGCTATAAATATTAAGTCCTCTTTTTCTTATATTTACTTAGTAGCAGGCCAAGGAAAAAAGTGAAGAAAAAAACAAGAGATTCTTTGTTAGTTATATAAAGAGGGGGTTCTTCAACTGTGGTGAGAGCTTCATTTCTTGAATGACATATTGGTATGTGTAAATGCATGGACAAGAAAGTGGGGTACTATGAGAAATTAGCCAATGAGTTGTCTGAATATAAAGGAAATTGGCAGCATTGCTTCCTTACCATAGTTTCTGTTTCCCAAATGGATTCTTGAAATCAACTAATTGACATTTCTCAAAGATTTTGTCATGTCCTTCCTCAGCAATTATTTTTTCTAGTACATAAGTTTCCAATCAAGAGGACCACCACTTTCATCTGATTTTTCATAATGGAGTTCAAGTCGGTACCTTTATATTCATCTTTATGAAAAAAATTCAGCTTTTTCAGCAGTAGTTTTGACTTGAAAGTTTCTTCGTTGGTCCATATTATCAATACAAGTGTCAATTAATGTTCAAATAAGCTGGATGATTTTCTTGGATGGCAAGTTCATTTGCAGCTATAGGAGGAGGAATTGGAGGGGCAGTAGTCCTCTTGGGAGTAATTTTCTTTTTATGCTTTTGCGCGTTTCGCAACAGGAAGAATTCAAATAAGAATTCAGACAGTGCTTCTTCAGATCCATCTGCAGTAGGTAATGTAGAAAAACTATCATCACTAGTTTACAATAGCAATGGAAATGAACTAAAGATTTGCCCTGCTAACTCTACTTTCTGCTAAATGTACTGACCAAAATAGTTACAATGGAGCTGAAAAAGGGAGGACCAAGCCCATCTTTTAAGCAGTTCAGTATGGAAGAGTTGGAGAAAGCCACAAGGAATTTTGATGAGAGCAATCTCATTGGTTGTGGGAGTTTTGGTCTAGTTTTCAAAGGATTGCTTTGTGATGGAACTGTGGTGGCTATAAAAAGGCGTTCGAGGAATCCTAAACAGGAGTTTAATGAAGAGGTATGTAAAGGGGCTGATTGTTTACTAAAGGGAGAGATAACAAGGAATGGCTAACGTACACTATACTTCTCATCTTTTCACTTCACATTTCCTGTTTTAGAAGTAGAGATTAGAACTCCAAGAAACATGCTTAATATCAATTCAATACAAAAGTTGAAGCAATCTAGAAACCATCTAATTCAATTATATATTCAAGTATTGATCACTAAACTTTGCATTTCCAAGAATAGGTGGCTCATTTATCACGAATTCAACACCGCAACCTGGTTAATCTTTTAGGCTACTGCCAAGACAGTGGATACTCAATGCTGGTTTTTGAGTATATGCCAAATGGAAGCATGTGCAATCACTTGTATGGTATGGCTCTATTGAGTAAAGAGCCTTTGATTATATTACTCATTATATATGAAAGCTGATTGGTTCTCTTTCAGATACAGGAAAGGACTCTGCAACAAAGCTAGAATTCAAGCAAAGGTTATCTATTGCTATTGGAACAGCTAAAGGTATTGCTATTGATTCATCCAAGAATGAGAAACAGAAACAAAGTGACTCTAAATTTGTTATTAACTGCAACAGGTTTAAGTCATTTACATGGCCAACGCCCTTCAATAATCCACGGGAACTTTAAAACAGCTAATGTTTTGGTTGATGAGGACTTCAATGCTAAAGTTGCAGACGTGGGGATTCTGAAGCTACTCGAGAAAATTGATGATGCAGGTCCTTCTGGGCTGAGTTCTGTCAATGCTTTTAGAGATCCAGAGTAAATAGCAATTTGCCATTTGAAGTTCCAGAGCAAAAAAACTTGACTTTTAAGCACTTTTTTGATTCGTTTTCTGTTCCGTGTTTAGGATAAACCAAATTGGAATACTGTGTGAGACAAGTGATGTTTACAGCTTTGGAGTATTCGTATTAGAGCTCATAACTGGAAAGGAGGCTTCAAATATAGATGAATTTGGATCAAACCAAAGTATACTTGATTGGGTAAGTTAAAGAAGCAAATTTTCAATATCTGCAGCTATAAACACTTACACTGCATGTTTATGTAAACTTGGCAAAAGGTTGAAAAACAGCTGAGTTCAGACCAGTTAGTGGATCATAGGCTGTTGGGAAGCTTCACGGCGGAGGTAATGAGGGATTTGATCAAGCTAGCGTTGAGATGCATGAGTTTTCCTGGTCGATATAGGCCAACGATGGAAACAGTCATGTTGGATCTTGAAAGGATTCTTGAGAAGGAGCAGATGCACACAACTGTTATGGGAGAAGGTACTTCAATAGTTACTCTTGGGAGTCAATTGTTTACAAACTGAAGCAATGAGACCTAGTCTTGATCTTCCCAAAATCATACAAGATTTTGAAAGCCTGCAAGAAACAACAAGTAAATGTACATTAGCCCTCTACTATCCTGCTTAATTGGCAATCATTTTTTTTAAAGTCCAATAGCCCTGACACGCGTTAAAGGGCATTATTGTTTAATTTGTGATAATTAATATCCTGCTTGATAGAGCTGCAATGCTGGAAAAAAATGAAGTGCAATCTCGTGTTCTTTTTACATTGATGTAATATTTTTGCTAGTTTCAAATATTTATTCTCATGGGATGAACATGGAGCAATTGGTACATTAAAGATGACTACAAGATGTTCAATTCATCAAACAAGTTGACATTTACAAATTTTAAACGCTATGTTGTGCTATACAATTATCCTGGAATATGTTGTGCGAATAATGCAAAGGATAGAGACATGTGTTGTCCATAACAAGAGGCACTCAGTATGAAAATGGTGCAAACAATAAGTTGTTAACACTTGATTCTTGTCTTTAAAATGTTCATAGCAAACAGAGCAAGTGTTCGCCGTCCAGGGGAAAAGGAAAGCGTTCGACCTCCTCTTGGCACAATATATATATATATATAATATATATATATATATNATATATATATATATATATATATATATATAGTAGCGTAGGGACTCACACTCTGCGCCTTATAGGAGGAGGGTAAATAATGAAGAGAAACTTGATCATGTATAAACCGAAGGTGAGAGATTTTAAGGACAATGACGTACGGTAGTTGTAAAGCTTCAGAAATCTGAAATCGCGATGCCAGAAATTGAAGAGTAGCAGATAGAAGCATTGTTGTTCAGCAGCTTTGACACATCAAAAGGAATGACGGTAGAGCAAGTCCGTTTGTCGCAGCCAGAATCGCCGCATTCACAACCATTAAGGAATACATTCAAACTTATTTGGCTAGGCACTGAAATCTCTAACACTTTTGAACTTATGGTTTAAAATGATTCACATATATTGTGTGTGATTATAAATCATTGCATAAAAGTAAATTATTTCTAGATAGAAAAATTAGTCATTCTTTTTCATGGACTAGAAAGTAAATAGGTTCACAAAAAATTAAAATAGAGGGAGTATATTTTTGATCCATTAAATTTACGGAAAAGGGCCTAAACTACCCTTATCGTTTGCTAAATGGTTTAAAAATACCCTCTGTCCATCTATCCGTCCAAAAAAGTACACGACGTTAATTCTATTATTAAAATTACCCCCACGTTTAATGGAAGAACCTGTGGGCCTTCAATTTAATGACATGGCAATTTTTTACTGGACCACGTGGCAGTTTCGGGCCAAAATAACTTATTTTGACCCACTTACCTGATCCGACCCTAAGTTTGTTACATGGGTCATAAAGCTACATTAACCCTACCGATTTTCATTCTTCTTCTCCCAATTAGGATCTTGGCCATCTGAAAAGCTCATATGAGCTTCTGCCCCAAAATTTCCTTTTCCTTTAAACCTTGATTTTGTGTGTAAACATTGTGCCTTTATTAAATTACTTTACAGCTGAATTAAATCACTCACCGAAAAATTCAAAACACTAGCCGGAAAAGCAAATAATTTTGTTAAAGTTATCGGAGAAATTAAAATGGCACCATCGACGAATAGTCTAATTCTATCACTGAAGGTTGTGCTAATATCAATTGGGGCAGTTTCCTTAGCAATGGTATTAAAAGCGTCAATTCCACGGGTTTTTAAGGAATTCCCAACCATTTGGAGTGCCGTTATAGCTTGGCTTAAACCTCTGTTTCTCTTTATTTTTATCAATGGTATAATCATCGTCATCGTTGCCATTTCTTGTTCCTCAAACCATAAGGAGCCCAACTAATCGAGCGATTGATTTCAACTATTGATTACTACTAGAACACCTTCACAGTCAGATCTGATAGCGATTACGCAGTCGGAGCTTCACTCAGTCAAAAGTGAAGCAAAGGAAGTGTTTGAGGCAGCCGCACCTGTGCAGGTGAACAAACTTTTTACCCAGGTGTTTGAAGTTAGAATGGCTCTAGAGCTATAAATGTGAATCCAGTAGATGAAGATGCGAAAGATGAGCCTGTTGACAGTGATGCGATTATGATTTCAAAATTTGTTGTGGCTCCATTGCAGGAAGCTGAAACTGAAATTTATTAGTGTAAATTTTGTCCAATTCTGTTATGTAATTTGTCCAAAGATGGGGTATGATTGGAGAAGAAGAAAGGGGGAGGTCGGATTAGTGAGAATGGGTGTGATAGATTCTACCCATTTTTGTAAATGGGTCGGATAAGGTAAATGGGTTGAAATAATATTCATTTTTTGTTCCAGTTAAAGATTGCCACGTGGCCCAGTTAAAAATTGCCACGTCATTAAATTGAAGGCCCACAGGTTCTTCCGTTAAACGTGGGGGTAATTTTAATAATAGAATTAACGCCGTGTGCTTTTTTGGACGGATAGATGGACGAATGGTATTTATAAACCATTTAGCAAACGAAGGGATAATTTTGGCCCTTTTTCGCTAAATTTATCAAAAGTGAGCACTTTTAATAGATAAAACGGAAAAGGTCCAAATATGTCCGTGAACTATTTGAAATAGGACAAATATGTCCGTCGTTAATAGTTTGGCCCAAATATGCCCAAACCGTCCAATAGTTGTGCAAATTTGCCCTTTTTTAACGGAAACAATATTATTTTCTTTTCTTTTTTTAATTAATTAAAATCAAAATATTTTTTTCCAGTTTTTAGAAAAATATCGCTTTAAAAAAGTGAAAAATGATTTCTAAAACAGTTGTTTTTGTAAAAACTAAAAAAATTTTTCTAAAGCAATGTTTTTGTAAAAACTGAAAAAAACAAATATTTTCTTTTTATCAGTTTTTAGTTTAAAAAAAATTCAGTTTTTTTCCAGTTTTTACCGCTTTAGAAAATTGCTTTTCAGTTTTTTTTCTAGATTTTACAAAAATCATTGTTTTAGAAAATAATTTTTCAGTTTTTTTAAAGCAATTTTTTTTTCGTTTTTTCAATTTTTAGTAAAAATAAATTCAGTTTTTTTTTCCAGTTTTTACAAAAACATTGCTTTAGAAAATTGCTTTTTAGATTTTATTTCTGTTTTTACAAAAACATTGTTTTAGAAAATAATTTTTCAGTTTTTTTAAAGCAATTTTTTTTTGTTTTTTCAATTTTTAGTAAAAATAAATTCAGTTTTTTTTTTTTTAGAAAATCATTGCTTTAGAAAATTGCTTTTTAGATTTTATTTCTGTTACAAAAACATTGTTTTAGAAAATATTTTTAAGTTCTTTTGTAAAAACTGGAAAAAAAATATTTCCGTTTTTTTTCTTCAGTTTTTAGTAAAAAAACTTTTAGAAAAATTGCTTTAGAAAAAAATATTTTGATTTTAATTAATTAAAAAAAGAAAAGAAAAATACTGTTTCCGTTAAAAAAATGGCAAATTTGCACAACTATTGGACGGTTTGGGCATATTTGGGCCAAACTATTAACGACGGGCATATTTGTTCATTTTCAAATAGTTCACGGGCATATTTGGACCTTTTCCGTAGATAAAATAATAGAAACTGAACCTTACAAAAATGCATCACTCTAGAAATAGAGCAAAAATATCTTCCTTTTACTGAGAGCAGAAATGCTCACTTTTGATCAACAATGCAGCTATATATCTTACCTCAAAACACAATATGTGAACTAGGATAAGAATAGGAGGAGCGACAAGTAAGGGGTTTGTTTTGTAAATATAGTTTCTTAGGGGCTTTTAAAATAAGTCATCATAAATTAGCTTTATTCCTTCTAACTGATGTATAACTAACGTTGATTCTACTGTAGGGTTATTTCCTTGGATAAAAAATTATGGGTCATTTCTTTATTTAAAGATTCAAACGTCCCTTTTAATGTACCTTTTAGACGGAAGGGGAGAGAGATTGGTGCAAAACATATATGTATACGGTAAAATCATGTGCCCCGATTTTGTGGGTCCGAAGGCTCACATCGAGGAACAGAAGGTTCGCGTCGAGGAATAGACTCACTATGGACCGAGTTCAAGCCCGAAGGCAGAACACGAGGCTCGAAGATTTAAGTGTTCGAGGAACGTCAGAGCCCAGTGTGACCAACCCCGGGATAATGCCGTTTTGGGTTTGTAACAGAATGAGCAAGATTCCTGCCACGTCCCCAAGATCATGGCGTAAATTCCGGAATAGATTTGTATGAGTTAGTACTAATCCGTACTAGACAGTTAGACAACTGTCCCAATAAGATTCTTTAGTGTAAATAGAAATGTACCTTATTTAGGGTTCCCCTATTATATAAAGGGGACCCCAATCATTTGGAATGATCATCAATCATTGGCAAAAGAATATACTCTCTTACTTTCTTGCTCATTGCTCACCAGAATTGTCCTTTAACTTTATTGTTCTTACTTTATTGTTCTTGACCTATCTCGAGGCCATCTTAGCTCGAGGTCGAGACTGGCTTGCACACTGGTTTGATTTTACTTATTTCTTTCATTTATATGTTAGATTTCTTGGTTATTAGTTAGTGTTGAACTAAATCACATATCTTAAAACCATAAATCAAGTTTAATTGTTACTCGTATTTTTGAGGTAAACAGTTTGGCGCCCACCGTGGGGCTAAAGATAATAGTGGTTATTTCAGTATTGATTCTGATAACGCACGTTATTTTCACACTTGTTCTTGTCAAGAATTTTTGTTCTCAGGTTAAAACATGTCAAACTCGCAAAACGCACCCGTACACAGCGGTGAGGGTCTTGGATTTCAGGGGGAAAACAACATGTAGGGGTCGGTGTACCACCGATTAACCCTAGGGAAGTGCCAAATGTGGAACCAGTCGATGTTAGTTCGCATATTGCTTTGAATACGAATTTAGGCGCAGACCCCAGAGGAAGTGTACGTAGGGAAGCTCGATCTGGTGGCCAAGGAACACAGGGTATAGGAGATGGGGGAGTCAGCCTCCAAGTAATATTTGAGATGCTACAAGCTCAACAAGTTGCTATCGCTCAACTTCAAAGTCAACACAAAACTCCAAGCATAGTCGAACCAGAAAACACTTGACGTACTGAGCCGGTGCTAGAAAGATCAAATGGTAATGGCTCGGGGACTGACCCCACAATTATGAGGATGCTCGAGGAACTCACCAAGAGAATCGAGTCCGGGGAGAAAAAGATTAAGGATGATGACAAAAAAGTGAAGACATACAACTCCCGTGTTGATCAAATACCAGGGGCACCCCTGGTCTTGAAAGGTTTGGAACCCAAGAAATTCATACAAAAGCTATTCCCTCCAAGT